AGAGTCTATCAAAAATTGTTTACATGGCTCTGTTTCTCGTGCGTCGGATACGATCAAGATGATGGCAGACTGCTTCCAAGCATCTGAGTTGGTCATTGCCCAACAATTATGGACAAGTCAAAGACTTGAAGTAGAGAATCAATTCCGATCTATCGTCAAGAACCTCAATCGATCGACCGATTCGGATGGAAAATATCTGCGTCAATCAGTCATTCGACTAGCTAAATTGAGCCTCCCAATCTTCAAACTCTGCAAGATTTTCTTCGCCAAGCTATCGGAACGCGGGTTAGCTCACGAGCGACTCCCGGTCCACACGGAGATCAGTTCCGAGCAAGTCGAAGTTCTGGCCCAATCTGCTGACCTTGTCGCTAAAGATCTCCAAGAACTTAAAGATTATCTTGGGCTTGCTAATCAACAAGACGGAGACGCCACCAGTGACGGTTTCCTCAGAATAGTTCAATCCCTTAGAAATCGCTTCGAGGCCCCTTTGTCTGCTGTACTTATCCACTTTATCCCTTCGATCGCCGATACTTATGGTCTTCATCATCAAAAATATTACCAGAATTGGTGTCTTACTTGGCATAATCTGATGGCTTTGGCTGTTCATAACTTCACACTTGTTGCTAAAACATATACAAACAATATACCTTGATTTTTTTTTCCCTTTATACTTCTTCTTCTTCTTGATCTTGGTTTTGTTTGCCTTCTGTGGAATTGCAATTCCAACATTGCAGCCACTGAACTAGGTAGAACCAATTGATTTTTCCAAATGTCAACAAGTGAAGGTAGCCTAATCCTATTTGATGTATGCTCAGCTCCAGAAGATTATAGCAGTTATAAAATATGCCTGATGATTCATCTCTCTGTGATCACAAAAGCTTATTCTCACCATCCAATGTGGTCAATTAGGCACCTACATATTGGTTTGGTCAGGTTATGCAGGGTTGGATCTGGGCACACAGCCAAGCCACCCAAGAAGTGCATAGCTAATTAACTTATACAAACTGCAAGAAGTTGGACCCCACTTGACCTCTTGATCATTAGCTAGCCCTTGTTTTTTCCATTTTGGATGATTGAAATCTGTAATAAGAGGGACTTGTAACTTCCCAGAGAACTTAATAATGAACTGTATAATCTTGAGGAGTGGCCCAATGGGCCCATATTGCTTTGTTGCAACCCTGGGCCAACTGCTTGGTGACACCCCCATGACATGTTTCCTCAGCGTGAGCCATGCATACAAGGGTGTACATATCACAGCTTTGCCAGGGATGGGCCTTGGGATTGGACTCGGGGATGTCCAACTCGCCCCCGGGGCTTCGTATTGTAATCTGTAGTCCAACCCACCCTTTGTGCCACCAACACCAGCCCTTTGTTGATACCAAACCAACTCAAATATCCAAAAAATATCATGGCCGAAGAACAAGGTTGTCAGCCTGGGCGATGCCAAGAGCTGGTCTCTTCTAGCTACACCAGGTGCAAACTAAGAAAATGGTATGTACAAGTGTGGGTAACACTTGGAAAGGGGAGTTTTTGATATTAAGAAAAAGAAGAAATAAAAACTATTAAGTTTTTATAAAGGGAGGGGCCTGAGTTACAGGGGTTTTTATGGTGCCCTCCAATGAATCAGGACCTGTTATAAACAGGGGTATTTTTTATGTACCTGATGATCTGGTCCTTTGTGTAAAGGAGTATGCCCAGACAAAATGCCTACAACTGAAGTATCAAGGAAATATTACCTACTTGTACTATTTCCAAGCCAAGGGGGACTTCAGGAGGGGGAAAACTGGTCTGGAAGCGCTCAGAAAACTGGGTAACAGGTGGTGAGAGAGTGCTGGGGAACAGTTGATGGTTGGTTGGTTGAAATTCAGGATGAAAAACAGCAGGAACTGGGCCAAAACAGGTGATAAACTGGTTGTTGGAGGTGGTTAATGCTGGTAAGTGATGATGAAGATGGGGAATTTGAGTTCGTGGTCAAGAAGGGCTCCTTATATACTCATTCTGGGCCCTTGGAGGCGAACTCAGGACTCTGTTTGGCTGGTGTGAGCCTCCTACTAGGCATTGGTGACCTGTAGCACTGCCTAGACACCTGTAGTCCTTGGTTACAGGTGGCAGAGGGCTGAAGTGAGGCTTGTAACACACACTAAGGAGTGCTGTGACGAACCTGCAGCCATGAATTTGGGCACTGGGACCCTT